TCACCCCCGGAAAATTGTGAAAAGTCAATCATCAATCCCTAATTCATCATTTGCTCCAATTAATTCTTCTCAATTAAAATGTCTCCCATTCCGATGGTGACAAAATTCTCAGACTTCATGGATTCACTCACAGGACACTCAGAGTTTTCTCACCCCCGGAAAATTGTGAAAAGTCCATCATCAATCCCTAATTGATCATTCGCTCCAATTAATTCTTCTAAATTCAGATATCTCCCATTCCGATGATAAGAAAATTCTCAGACTTCATGGGTTCACTCAGAGGACACTTTTAGAGTTTTATCACCCCCGGGAAATGAAGGAAGATCAATCATTAATCCCCGGTTCATAATTTTCAACAATAAAACTCCATCTCCGCTCGTAGCCTCTATACCGCTCAAACGCTGAGATTTTCCATCCCCATGTTCCCATCCCGATGTTGAGAAAATTCTTAGGCTTCATGGGCGGACTCAGAGGACACTCGTAGAGTTTTCTCAACCCCGGAAAATTGTGAAAAGTCAATGATCAATGAATTCTTCTAAATTCAGATATCTTCTATTTTGATGGTGAGAAAACTCTCAGACTTCATGGTTTCACTCAGAGGACAATCATGATCAATCCCTAATTGATCATTCGCTCCAATTAATTCTTCTAAATTCTTCACAAGACACTCTCAGAGTTTTCTCACCCCCGGAAAATTGTGAAAAGTCAATCATCAATCCCTAATTGATCATGCGCTCCAATTAATTCTTCTAAATTCAGATATCTCCCATTCCGATGGTGAGAAAATTCTCAGACTTCATGGGTTCACTGAGAGGACACTCTTAGAGTTTTTTCACCCCCGGAAAATTGTGAAAAGTCAATCATCAATCCCTAATTCATCATTCGCTCCAATTAATTCTTCTCAATTCAAATATCTCTCATTCCGATGGTGACAAAATTCTCAGACTTCATGGGTTCACTGAGAGGACACTCTTAGAGTTTTTTCACCCCCGGAAAATTGTGAAAAGTCAATCATCAATCCCTAATTCATCATTCGCTCCAATTAATTCTTCTCAATTCAAATATCTCTCATTCCGATGGTGACAAAATTCTCAGACTTCATGGGTTCACTGAGAGGACACTCTTAGAGTTTTTTCACCCCCGGAAAATTGTGAAAAGTCAATCATCAATCCCTAATTCATCATTCGCTCCAATTAATTCTTCTCAATTCAAATATCTCTCATTCCGATGGTGACAAAATTCTCAGACTTCATGGGTTCACTCACAGGACACTCTCAGAGTTTTCTCACCCCCGGAAAATTGTGAAAAGTCAATCATCAATCCCTAATTCATCATTCGCTCCAATTAATTCTTCTCAATTCAAATATCTCTCATTCCGATGGTGACAAAATTCTCAGACTTCATGGGTTCACTCACAGGACACTCTCAGAGTTTTCTCACCCCCTGAAAATTGTGAAAAATCAATCATCAATCCCTAATTCATCATTTGCTCCAATTAATTCTTCTAAATTCAGATAGCTCCCATTCCGATGGTGACAAAATTCTCAGACTTCATGGGTTCACTCACAGGACACTCTCAGAGTTTTCTCACCCCCGGAAAATTATGAAAAGTCCATCATCAATCCCTAATTGATCATTTCCAAAAACTTCTGCCGATATCTCCTATTGCAATAGTTGGAAAATTCTCAAACCCCCTGAGTGCGTTCAGAGAAAACTCGTTGAATTTTTCTGCCCCCCCTTCCTGCGATCTCGTAGAAAAAGAATCAAGAATTTCCAATCAATTATTTAAAAAACTGAGTTGATAAAATCAATTATGAATAAATTATGATCATTCGACCGTTAATATTTAGTAAGCAAAGGTATTCTTGAAAATCAATTATATTTATCTTGCTTGCTAAAAAGTAAATCTTTGTCTGTGGCAACAATTTTTGGTCCAAAATTTACTCACTCTCGGAAACAGAAAAAAAACTTATTATCATGAAAAATTATAATGATGCATTTTCAAATAGAAAAAAACATGGAAAAAAAAATCTATTCATTATTATTAAGGGGTGAGCAAACTCCCCCTCGACATTCCTCAGTTTGCTCACCCCTTAAGAACCAACAAAACAATCANATCATCAATCCCTAATTGATCATTCGCTCCAATTAATTCTTCTAAATTCAGATATCTCCCATTCCGATGATAAGAAAATTCTCAGACTTCATGGGTTCACTCAGAGGACACTCTTAGAGTTTTCTCACCCCCGGAAAATTGTGAAAAGTCAATCATCAATCCCTAATTCATCATTCGCTCCAATTAATTCTTCTCAATTCAAATATCTCTCATTCCGATGGTGACAAAATTCTCAGACTTCATGGGTTCACTCACAGGACACTCTCAGAGTTTTCTCACCCCCTGAAAATTGTGAAAAATCAATCATCAATCCCTAATTCATCATTTGCTCCAATTAATTCTTCTAAATTCAGATAGCTCCCATTCCGATGGTGACAAAATTCTCAGACTTCATGGGTTCACTCACAGGACACTCTCAGAGTTTTCTCACCCCCGGAAAATTATGAAAAGTCCATCATCAATCCCTAATTGATCATTTCCAAAAACTTCTGCCGATATCTCCTATTGCAATAGTTGGAAAATTCTCAAACCCCCTGAGTGCGTTCAGAGAAAACTCGTTGAATTTTTCTGCCCCCCCTTCCTGCGATCTCGTAGAAAAAGAATCAAGAATTTCCAATCAATTATTTAAAAAACTGAGTTGATAAAATCAATTATGAATAAATTATGATCATTCGACCGTTAATATTTAGTAAGCAAAGGTATTCTTGAAAATCAATTATATTTATCTTGCTTGCTAAAAAGTAAATCTTTGTCTGTGGCAACAATTTTTGGTCCAAAATTTACTCACTCTCGGAAACAGAAAAAAAACTTATTATCATGAAAAATTATAATGATGCATTTTCAAATAGAAAAAAACATGGAAAAAAAAATCTATTCATTATTATTAAGGGGTGAGCAAACTCCCCCTCGACATTCCTCAGTTTGCTCACCCCTTAAGAACCAACAAAACAATCATCAACGTCTTTTGTCACTTGGGTGTGCTAACTTGATATAAACTTGGCACAGCCATAAAAAACAAAAAAAATATAAACAAGAAAAATTCAAAATTATCATAATAAATTAGTAAAAAACTGTCACTTTCCGATGCAATGGCCAACATTCAATTGTGCTACTTTGGCTGTGTCAGGTTTAAGTACCTCTCCCACATGCACATCAGGGGTTTTCGAACGAATCGTCCACAAAACGAAGATCATTAATAACTTCATCATCATGCACTTCAATTAGTGATAATTACCAAATATCTTTCACTCATTCCATAACCTCTCTCCTATATCTCCATGTGACTGAACAAAAACAATAGGATCTGATGGAAGCTCGCCACCATGCGTTCGAAAGAGCGAAGTTCGACGCAAGTGGGCGAGCTTGCTCCGGAGCATCCTATAGATCAACGTTCGATAAACGCGGGCGACGCTCGCCCACCCACTGTTGCGCCGCCAGCCAAACTGTCTACTAGGGTACCCGGGCAGGTTTTACCGTCAATTGAGGTTTTTTCTTGTCCTTCAGCGAATGCGGTACAGGGAGTTGGTGGGTGGGAAGAGAAATCGTAAAAACCCGAAAGGGTATACGAGAGAAAAAAAAATTGTTTTTATAAACAATCAATTTTCCACCATAAAAATCATTTGTTCAAAATTGTAGGAAATTTATTCATATTTAGAATTTCACCAGAAATTGATTTCATGCCTAGAAAATAAGTTTCGGACAGTTTAAACAATTTCAATTATATATTTATAAACAACGAATGTTTGAAAAAATGATAATTTTATGCAAAATATACTTTGAATGACGCTGAATTTTCATGTTTTTTTTTCAAATTTTTCTCATGCAATTTGATTGACAAATTTGATAATCGAAAGTGGTTGAATATATAGTATGGTCTGTACCAAATTGCAAAAGATACTTGCATATCCTTAAGACGTATTATTGAACTTCAAGTTTTCAGCAGTTGAAGTTCAATAATACTTACATGACTTTCCAATAAGTTCATTACGTGTTCAACGGTATGAAATAAATTACCACAGAATAAGGAAAAATGCATAATTAATTCAAAATAATAACCCGTCTAATCATCTCGACTTTTACCTCAAAAAAATATTTTTCTCACTTTACCTAATGAGTGAAGATGCAATTACGCCAAGAGGTAAAGTCAAGTGATAGATAAAACGACCAAGAAAAACAACAAGCAAACCAAGGGATAAAAAAGAAATTGGAGTAATTATGAGCTGCAATTAAAAAATGATAATGTCAGGAAGGGGGTATAGAAGGAGACCTTTGTGACGGGTGGGTTTGAGGCGCGTAAACAAGAGGATACCTTTCTGTGGTGGGTGGGCAGCGCCGGCGCGTACTGAACCCCGCCCTGTCCGCGAGGTTACTTCCAAGAATGTGAAAACCACCAGTGACAGTCGCGCTTTAACTGGCGAACCGCGCCGCGATGACACTAAGCACACCTATTTAATTCCCTTCATTATTTTTATCAACGGGTATCAGTTCCAAGGAATTTTCACATCGTCAAAATAAATAGTGATTTTTTTTGTGAATGTGCACGACATGAACTATTTTTAAATAAAACATCTTCACGTCATTTCCTGGTTTTTCTGAAATTTTTCGAAATCGTGGTAATCATTCAGTTAAAGAGAAAATTTAAAAAAATGCTGGAGAGCTTTATTAATAATGTGGAAGGATCATTATCATCATGACGACAGATTATTTTTCTCCAATTAAATTGAACGGAAATCAGAGAGCAATTGAAATTCTTTAAAACTGTGTTATTAAGCATCAATTAAAAATCCCTAGTGCATTTATGCTCATGCAATTTCTGAAGAAAATTGATGATTCTACATGACAAAAAAACAAAGTTCAACATTTTAAAGCACAAAAAAAACAAAATTATATATTTGAGGAAAAAATGTTCAAGTGTTGATTAAATAATAAAATCAAAAATTTGAAAAATAAAATCTATGAAGTGGCATCGAAGGCGACATACACCACTAAAGCGAAGAAAAACCATAAAAATTCAAATTTCAAAGAGGAAAAACTGGAAGAATAATAGACTAATTAAAAAAAATCCCGAAAAATCAAAAACTGAAAAATAAAAACTCAAGTGTCATCCACCGTGAGGCTCACATCACCTGAAAATCGATAATTACCATTCCTCTACAATTGAAATCCAAAAACCGATGCGATTCCCATAAAATTCAATCACTTGCAACTCAATGAACGCAATGCGCGGACACCTGGGATTGACGAAGCGATTGTATCCGCTCGTAATTGCCCAATTGTGTAATCTCTTTCGCATAAAAAATATCTCAAGTGTTTTGTAAAAGCAATGAGAGGAACGAAAAAACGAGACTCAAGGGAGAAGCAAAAATTTCATGTAACAAAATTTAACTATTGAAATTCATTTTGATTGAATGATCGATCATTGATCAGAAGTTTCATCAGAGCCAATCATCAAAATTGGCATAATCAATAGAGAAAAAATAAAGATAATAAAGCCAAATCGCTAATGCGCGGTAGCAGTTCGGAGTTACTGCTGGACGCGAACAGCCAGAGTCAATCAAATACCCAAAAATACGAAGTTCAGGAGAAAGAATTACGTCGTCGCAAACTGTTGGAACTCGGTTTTGGCGCTTCGCGGCGCCGGCCGCCCCGGCGTACCTGCCGTCAGCGGTTCAATTTCTATGCAACATCAGCATTGACATTAGTTGCAACATCGTGTGGTGCTGCATTATTATTTCTAGTACCACTTTATGTGGATCCAGCGATAAGTACACTGGCTGCTGATTTTTCACCTGAGCCCGTTCTCTGTACGACTGTGCGAAGAGAGGATATTGTGGGGATTTTCAATTGCACTTGGAGCTCGTGTAGGGAGGGATGTACTAGTGATGTGTATCGATGTACTCATATTTATGTGACGTATACGCCGTGGAGGAATAACAGTGGGTGGGGGAATGAATCGGTGGTTGGGGGCAATCAAATGGGAAAGGGAGTGATTGGTGGTGAGACGAGTACTGAGGCTTCGAGCACTGGTGAGAATACGCTTGATACACTGATATAGAAAAAATTATTTTTATTGAGACGTTTCTTTCTTGGAATAAGTATTATTTACTTGAACCAATTCCAAATAAATAAGATTTTATGGTGAATATCAATTAGTTCTTGTTGAAATACGTTTGTTTGGATCAAATAAAATAGTTCTTGCGGTGTTAAGTAACATGTATTGACCACAAGAATGGAAAAGTTCTATTCTTGTAACCTACTGTAATCTCCAGCCGAGAAATTTTCCACTTTCATGAATTGATCAACAATTCGTACCTAGGAGATGATTACATTGAGGAATGAATTGAATGTTGTTTTCTCGAATGAGGCCGATGTTTAAATTGAGCTTTCCGTACATCACATTGAACGAAAATTGTTATATCCAAGTTTGTGTTGAATTGCCGTACTCTGTGATTCTGTTATTGTAAAATAATGCGATTTTTTTTTAGTCAAGAAATATAAACTTCTTCGGACTCAATGACATTTTACTATAATCTCAAAGCTTTTTCATCCTGATTCGACATTCGATAATTTTGATTTTTGAGTAAACCAACGAATTTCTGGAGTTGGCCAACTTTTGGCTAGAAAGAAATCAAATATGCTCGTTATTACGACAAATAAGAGGAACATCAATTCTAGAAGAAGAAATAACTGGTATTCACTATGAAATCATGTTTATTTGAAAATTAACAACCAAATGATAACAATAAAAAAACAACCAAATGATCGTTGGTTCAAAATTTCTCTTGATAAAACTATTTTTTTCTGTCAGTGTAATTATGTTTTTTTGGGGCGGGGGAGGATTGGAATGGTTGGGGATGGTCAAGATCACTTAGATTTTGATTGTTCAATTCGAAAATTAAATCATATTTAAATAGATGCATTCAAGTTCATGAACAGAGAAAACAAGTGGACTACACTGTTAGCAAATTACTCCTGAAATTTCACAGAAAAAGCTTAAGACTTTTAACAATCACTCATTCATACGGAATTTTCATGCATTTTGTTATTGAAAAATCAGTTGAATTCTGGAGTATTCAATGGAATAGCAATTTTCAGGTCCAAATGATGAAAATAATTAAATAATTTGGAAATTCAAGCAACAATTTCCCTGAATTTTCAATCCACATGAACTTGAAAATTCCAGATTTCATTGAAATATCAGTGATAATCTAAAATGAAAATCCCAATTATTCCGAATTTCCAACCTAAATGAGAAATGCTATCAACGATTTGATCTTAAATTGAATTCAAATTCGCAACATTGAGAATTCAACTGCAACTATTATTTAATTTTCAAAAAATTTCTAACAGTGATTCTTCCAAATGGAGGCAAAAATGGAGTAATCGTTCAAATTCAAGTATTGGATTTTCTGTGTTATGTCGACCCAGTATGAACCAAAAAGTCCGAAATAGTTATTTTCATCACAAGGTCCACAAAGTATTTTCTGACGAACGTGGCTTTGTAGGCCGAGCCGAAGGCTCGGCCTATAATCACATTCATCAGAAAATAGTTTTGGACCGTGTGATGAATGCAATTTTTCGTCAGAAGGCCCGTAAACCGCGATCAAACCGAGCGAAGCGAGGTTAGAATCGCGGTTTACCGGGTCTTCTCACGAAAATGCAATTTTTAGACCTCGTCCGTACGTGTGCGTGTATGTGTCTAGGGGAGGGTGTGCCTGTACCGCCCACCTAAGGGGAAATGCCAGTTTTATATTTGATATTTCAACTTGAGTATAAAAAACGTATTTGTGAGACTTCTTTAACTATTGAACTCGTTATTCTCGAAGTGTAGATGCCTAATTCTCCTTAGAATCCACAAAATTGATTGAAAATAAAAGAGAAAGCCTATTGAGCGGTACTACTCACCGTTGGGTAATACCGCTCGGCACGATTCCGATGCCGCTCATAGGGTTTTGCGTGTAGCGCTCGCGCCGCAACCTAACCTGTACTCGAGTGCTGTCGAGCAACTACGTGGCCGATCCTACGAGCGGTATTACCGGCTCCGCTCGACGTCAACAAAATTGTTGATAATTATTGACATGAGTGGAGTTTTGAGTTCGAATTGGTCTCAAATTACGCACGAAAGTACTACGAATCGAATAACCACAGTTTAATATGAGAATTCAGCGTTTGAAACTATCAAAAACCTTAATTAAAAGTCCATAAATTTTGCACTGTAAAGACCTCAAAATTTCGTTACGTGTTTTTTCATATTTAAAGTGGTAAATAAAGTGAAATTTTTCCGACAATCACATCCTATCATCAAATTCTTCATGATCAGGGACAGAAAGAAATTTTCAAGTTGATGGTTGTGGAGAAAATCGGGTGAGCGGTATTACCCGCTGAGCGGTACAGGCACACCCTCCCCTACGTACGGAACAAAGTTTTTTTTCAATGGTTCGCTAATGAATGGATGGAATTCAATCTTTTTTTTTCAAATGCAGGTATTATTGAGCCCAATAATATTATAATAAATAAATAATATTATAATAATACGCAGGTATTATTGAGATCAATCATCATTAATTAAAATTTAATTCATCGATTAGTTCTTTGAATTTTAGAATTTTTTCGAAAATCGGTTGTCCCATGATAACTACAAAAAAATGGTTTGAATCGATTGAATGTTAGCTTAAAAAATTTGTTTCAACGTCCCTTTGACTGAGTTCAACGCTAAAGGCGATGGCAATAATCCTTATGTTGATTTATTTGAAAATTTTCAAAAAATTTGTATTTTTTGAAAATTAGAATTCCGGGGATATCTTTGAATGTCATGCTTCAAATGAATTCAATCGTAGCTTAAAATGTTTGTTTTATCGCCATCAAGTCGAAATTAACAGATGATTATGATAGCTATATTTGTTGATTTGATTTTTATGAAGATTGTTAAAAATTTCGACTTTTTCACGAATTTCCCTGAAAATGAGCTTTCTGATGGTTTCTTCAAATATGATATTTCAAATTCATTCAAGTATATCCAAATGAAATTTATTTATCAACATTTCATTGAAGGGCTGAGGGGAGAGATAGAACCGTAAAAAAGATCATTGGTTGTATAGAAGAAAGGGATAATAAGAATAATGATGATGATAACATGATAACATGATGATAACTAAGTTGTATCTGAAAAAATTAGCTGAAAAGAAATCTTATTCAATTTAATAAAATGAAATAATCAATTAATTATAGGTGATAGAAGGAAATGATGTGCAAAATAACCATTCTGAAGCATATTGCTACTTCATTTGCAAAAATAACTATACTATTTGTAATACAAGAGCAATTTTTCACTTGTTTTTTGTAAATGAGTAATTGTTGCTAATAAATTATCAATTTGCTTTCGGTATTTTTTTCTTTTTTTTACGTATTCTTTAAATGATGGATAAGGCGTGTGGAAAGTTTCAGACTGTTGGGGAGCATGGTTAATTTATTATGGATTTTTGAAAAAGTGGTCGTTTAACCCGTGACCTTATGGAAATCACAAAAAAACTGCAAAACCCAAGGAAAAAATGTAGCTAAAGTCATGAAATTTGAGACACATTTAGAACATGTGAACAATAATTTTTTGAGTGAAAAAGATTGTCCCCGAGGAGCATTGTTTATTAATAATAGTGAAAAAAGTACTGAAAAATAAAATTTCTGCGCACGCAGCCCAAACGAGCAACGACGTCCCAAGTACCGATCGGGTGGGGGTAGCGCGGTGAATTTAAACGTCTCTTGAGAGAGAGCGATGAAGCGTTGTGATTGGAGCTCCCTCGAGCCAGTGGTACCAGCTCCTGGTGAAAAAAAGAAAACTACCGACGATGTTGCCACTTTTTTGCATGGATTAATATTTTTTCATTTATTAAGAAAAAACAATCTGAAAACCATTCAATGCGTGGAACAGATACAAATAAATTTGATTAGCTCTAAAACTAATTTTTAACCGAAGATACTCCCTAATATTGCCTGAATTTTGAATCCGAATGGGAAAAATTTTTTTGTTCAGCGATTGTTTTTCTGCAGGAAAACAATAGAGACCTATCCGCCTCACCTCCTACATTTCCTCCTCGCCCGATTATCTTTAATCGAAATGTCACCAAAATTTGGCGTATTATTTCGTTCTGTCAAATAATTCTACGTTCAGACCCTCTCAAGACTCATGAGGCTGAAGCTGGCGGGAGCAGTTCAGCGGGAGATGGGTATAGTTTGTGAGGCGGACTGTACGGCCCCCACCGTAGCCGCTCGCTCAAGGCTACATCGGTAGCCACAAGTTTAAACCTCCTTCCAGACAAATTAAATGATAAAAAACAATCGAACAATTTTTTTTTGTTATTATTATTTCTTAATGTATGACGAGGGTGGGGAATGATTTCTCGAGGAGGAATTTCATGATATTTTTTTTATTTTTATAAGTTCTTACGCGGTCAATAAGGGTGCAATAAACGCATACACCAATCGATGTCATTTTATTTTCAATGTGTCCCTAAGGGGTCAGGGGACCCTGTCCAACAAAAATTATCGCGGTGCACCTATTAGGGTATTTTTAATTAATTTTTTAAGATTCATTTCTCCCAACTTCCGTTGAACAAAATGGTGATGCGCGGACACGCATGCACCAACCAACCCCATTCCATTTGGAATATGTAGCTAGGGGGTTGGGGGACCCTCCCCAACAAAAATTATCGCGGTGCGCTAATTAGGGGATTTTTAATTAATTTTTAAAGATTCATTTTGTGTAACTTCCGGTGAATGCGGTGGGGGTGCACGGACGCGCATGCACCAACCGACTTCATTCCACTTGGAATATATTACGGAGGGGTTGGGGGACCCTCTCTAATAAAAATTCTGACGGTGCGCCAATTAGGGGATTTTTAATAAATTTTTCAAGATTCATTTTGTGTAACTTCTGGTGAATGCGGTGGGGGTGCACGGACACGCATGCATCAACCGACTCCATTCTATTTGGAATATGTGCCTAGGGGGTTGGGGGACCCTCTCCAACAAA